TTAATATAAAATAATTTACATTTATTTATCCAGCCTTTACATTCCATGTTACTACATAAAGTTAAGGATTATCAACTGAAAATGCTCTAACTTTAGTAAAGATTTTTCTCATTTAGGTCAAGCTTAATTCTGTTAAATGAAATAATGATTTATCTTGGTATCCACTAGAGTTTGTGCAAGCTATAGGAAAATAGGAAAGTGAGAAGTATAGAAATACAAGGAATAATTAAATTAAGAATACTAGCTTTCATTTTAATTAAAAAGTTTTGATTCCTTTAAACTTCTTTTTGATAGTTTGGGGCATGTTTGTGCAAAAGCAGCTCAACAGAAATAACCTATGCCATCATTATTTCAGCAACAGAATTTATTAGATAGAGCCATGATTTAAATCCATATAATTGCCCTAGCTCAGTGGTTCTCAACCTGTGGGTCGTGACCCCTTTGGGGGTCGAACGACCCTTTCACAGGGGTTGCCTAAGACCATCGGAAAACACATATATAATTACATATTGTTTTTGTGATTAATCACTATGCTTTAATTATGTTCAATTTCTAACAATGAAATTGGGGGTCACCACAACATGAGGAACTGTACTAAAGGGTCGCGGCATTAGGAAGGTTGAGAACCACTGCCCTAGCTGGTTTTGCTCAGTGGCTAGAGCAGGGGTCCTCAAACTTTTTAAACAGGAGGCCAGTTCACTGTCCCTCAGACAGTTGGAGGGCCGGACTATAGTTTAAAAAAAAAGACTATGAACAAATTTCTATGCACACTGCACATAACTTATTTTGAAGTAAAAAAACAAAACGGGAACAAATACAATATTTGTATTTGCACGTGGCCTGCGGGCCGTAGTTTGAGGACCCCTGGGCTAGAGTGTCGGCCTGCAGACTGAAGGGTCCCAGGTTCGAATCAGGTTAGGGGTACGTGGCAGTTCCGGATGTGTAGGAGGCAGCCAGTCAATGATTCTCTCTCATCATTGATGTTTCTATCTTCTCTCTCCCCTGATTCTCTATCATCATTGATATATCTATCTCTCCCCTCTCCCAAATCAATAAAATATATATTTAAAAAAAAAAACACCCAAGAAAACAAGGGCAAGAAGGGTTGACATTTTAAATAAATAAATAAATAAAAATCCATATAATTAACTGGCCATGTCTCATCTCATTCATGACTTTAATAAAGAGCATATCCCAAATTAAATTATTCTCTGGATCATTATATTTTAAAATGATATATATTCTAAAATTGGCCATGCCAAAACTTCAGGATTAAAGACAAATCCTAAAAAAGTATTTTCTTACTTACAGAAGTTGGTTCAAATTTTCAAGTTGAAAGTAAAACTCTTTTTAATGTCCTCCTCCAAATCATAACTACCAGAAACAATCTATAGCTTTACTAATATACACTGAGTGGTATTGGTTGGAAGACAGTTTCTAAGTAAAAAGTTTTTTTTCTATTATTGATGCCCATACTTTTTAAAAAGTGGCATAATAAAATCAGGTTAAAAATGTTTGTCTCTCAGGATAATTAGAAGTTAGATAATTCTAAAAATAAAAGAATTCAGGCCCTAAGGCAAACAAACAAACAGAAAAATTTGTTTAATCTACATAATCTAAATCAATAGAAAATATGGCAGGGGACAAGGATGGGAGTCTACATTAGTCATTTCATATGTGAGAGTCTAAATTTTCTTAATTTCTAGTTCTCCAGAAAGCCACTGAACCTCTCTAAACCTGAGCTCTCTTATCAAAAAAACAAACACACAAAATATAAACCTTTTCTCAAAAATTTTCAGCAAATATTTTGTAATAAAGAGAAATGTGAATGCATACACCCAGTGATATAGTCACTTACCTTTATGTGGCTTTTACAAGCCTAAACTTTCTTTGAAATTTCATATCTTTAAAAAATTAATATAAAGTTGGATTTCTACTCTAAAATCTATATGTTTGCTTCAATAAAAACATAACACAACTACTTATTATTGGCAAGAGGAATAATTTTTTACCTTGTTAGCAGTCAAAATGATTTTACAGTGAGCTCAGTTTTGAAAAATTAGACTAAAACAAAGCAAATCAACAACCCATATTGTATTCACTTTCAGGCAATGTCTTTTTTAAATGATATTTCTAGAATTCAAACTTTTATTAAAAAGCTGACTACAAACAGCAGTGATTTCACTGTTTTATAGGACACATACTGGTAATTAATCCCTAAGGATAGATTCTCCAGTAATCAATCCCTAAAGAAAGATTCCTAGAATGCTGCAAAAGAAGTAATACAGTGCAATATTTTCAGACTATTTTTAATAAATGTTTTGTTAAATATTCTAGCTGGAAGGCTGAATAGAATATTGAAATGGTTTTGATCCTCTGGTTTATATCTTTTACAATCTGAGTAAAATGCTTGTAGAAGGATTTCTTCAAGATAGAAAAATTATTAGTGATAACATTTTTTGTTTTGCAACTGACATTTTATTTTTCAGTATATGTAAATAATTAATAATTTCAACCAACTCATAATCCTTACAGTTCTTTACATCTGATTATCAAAATTTCATTAATATTGCAATGATCCTAAATGTAACAGAAACATTTGCAGTTTAACCTCTCAGTTACTGATAGAGAATGTTTAGCCTCAGAGAAATGTATGTATAAAATTAGCTAACATGTGAGGCTCTTACAGTTATCATGAAGACCAAATTAATTCATTTTATTCAAATGCTAATCTTTTGTGATTTCTCTTATACTGTTCCATCATAGTTTATTATTAAGGGTTGACTAGAGTAAATGAGAGCATTGCATTTCAAAATCTATTCATTTAACTTTTCTCTACTTCTCAAATTTTTGTTTATGAGACAAATCTTTTTCAGATTCTCTTTGAAAATTTTTAGTATTTGGAATTATTACCTGTTTTAGGAGCCACAAAAATATTACATGACAACTCTGACTTTGATAACCACATTGGTTTTCTAAAGTCTTCCTCTTATGATAGTTTCAATTTACAAAATCCAATTTATATGCAGAAAATTGATCTCAAGCATTGACAAATGAGCTGTCTACTCTAAAAATCTATCTTTAAATTAGTATTATAGTCTTTTTTTTCATGTTTAGTGTTCAATGGTGACTATCTTTTCTCTCTTATAATTTATATAATAACAAAATTTATTTAAGATGGAGAGATAAAGAGATATATACATACATATAATCTAATAAGCATCAATTTTTGTCCTACCCATTTATTTCCAGGCCTATTACGGAAATACAACCTTAAACTATAAATTAGGAACTGTGGATGTTGTTCCTTGATTTGTCATTAATATTCTGTGTAACCTTGAATAAGATACCTTATATTGCTAGACTTGATGTAATTTTAAGCTTTCTGGAAATTAAAAAAATATATATATGTAGAAAATGGTATTCACTTGTTACTGAAAATTTGCTGAAAATCTTCACAGTTTTTGATAGTTTTCCGAAAGCAGCATGAGGCACTAGACTATACTTTTATTGGAAACTGCAATAGTTTATCTTTGTAATCAAGATATAGTGAGTCTCCCTTTAAAAAGGGAAACAACTTTTGATATGAAAATGTTCTCTGAGGTCAAAGAAAATAGCACAAGAGAATTAATAGGAACGCATTGTCTACACAGAGGCCCTGTCTTATAGCGGGTAGCCATTCTACTTAGTTTTCATTGTTTCTAAATTTGAGAATTCTGTTTGACTAAGCATGAGAATTGGTGATTATTATTTGGGCATAAATTTAGTTAATGCTGAAGAATTAGTAAAAACTATTTATATTGACTAAAACCAGAAGTTGACATTAAAATTCTTATGTGCCAAGATGCTTTTTTTTTTTTTTTCAAAATGAAAATTCAATTCTTAGTATTTTTCCTCAGTAATCTCCATATACTATCTGAGATGTCCTAAAAAGGATAAAACAATCTGTAGTGTGCCAAATATAATTTTGTAGTGTGGTCAGGTTTCTTTTTTTCAGGGGATTTTAACACTCAGAACTTGACATCATGTTGATGCTTCCCTGCTGTCTCCTAATACAAGCAGAAGCATTCCAGCTAACTTGACCTGTGCAGTCTGAAGGGAGGCTATCATTCGACACATGTAGGAATCTACTTGATCGGAAGCTTCTTTCCCCTTCTCCCTCCCTTTTTTCATTTTTTTTCTTTTTGTCTTCCTCTTTAAACAAAATATTTGTTGTTACAGCTCTACTAAAAAGCAAATGAATTTCTAGTTTATCCCTCATCTGATAAAACATTTTGTGTTAAGAACCTTCTTTTTCTCATTTATATAATGATATAAAACAAGTTTTTAAAATGGCAACTTTATTTTTTCCTATCTTACCTAGGAGGAAAATTCAACTGAAATACAGAAAGCTTTGAGGGAGTGACTATATCTGACATTGGTCTGGCATTAAAATTTTCTGGTTGGGCAGCACAATTGTTTAATTGGGAATCTCAGTGACAGCTGAACAACCTCAATGCTTGGGTCAGCAAGCGGAGGATCTTCACTCTGTCACCTATTAAGAATGATGCTTGTCAGGACTGATCTTTCCACTTGGGGAACATTTATGTTTCTAATCATATCATTAATGTTTTCTGATATTACAATGGAATAGATACTAAAACACTGAAAGAAACAAAGTTCTATGCATAGGTATATTTGTAATTCTTTGTTTTTCATAAACCAAATGCAAATGTAACACTACTCCAGATACTGCTTCATCAGAAATCCCCAAGATAACTGAAAGTAAGTGCACATTTCTTCATCAGGAATAGTGCCATAACAATGATTGCATTCTACTGACCAGCCTATTTGCAGAGCATGTCATATAGCCTCTGGGTTAGTTAACTCCTTGACCTCCTAAGAGGTACCTCAAAGAGTCAATTGATGTTTTTGCATGTATTATTTACTAATGCGTAGAAAAATTTTTAAGTTCACTTTTTCTTTATTCTGTCTTTTTTACCCATCTTCCCTCATTGTAGCAAATTAGACGGCCGGATGAAAGCAAAGGAGTTGCTAGTAGAGTTGGATCCCTCAAAGTAAATATGTTTCTAACATTTTTTGGCAAGATTTTGTCTATAGCCTACACTTCTTCCTTTTTGGTGGGTGGTGGGAGGAAGGGAGCTTTTTCCATTTTTCACCATCCCATTTTTTTTATTTTAATATTTTTATTGGCTGTTGGGTCATATTTTTTGTTTGTTTCAGCTACACATAGAGCAACCAGCTGAAGGCAAGCTGACAAATAACTAGCTTTGAATGGCACTACAGACAAGAAAAAGGGCAACTGCCTCACTACAGGTGCCATAATTTGGGGTTCTAGAGTAAACCGTTCCTCTGACTGATGTCACTATGTGTTAAGTTCCTGTTACACAGAGAACTAATATTTATTTTCAGAATATTATCTTCCCTTTTTATGTTTTTTATAAAAAATAATTAAGTATTATTTTGGTGTTATTACCATTTATAGTTTATTCCAGAAAAATAATTATGAATTAATAACATATTTTATACATATATAAAATTCTTAAGAATTAGAAATGTTATATGATGCTGGTATAATGGGCTCACATATAGCTAACAGTATTTAAGCACTCAATCCCCTTTATTTTATTTTTTAAATTAAAAAATTGATATAACAATCAGCAGAAACAGTATACATCTAATGTTTGCCCATTTTTGTATGTGATTTGCTAATTTACAACTTAAATATTTCTGATCTGATGGTCCCATTTACTAGCTGTTAAATATCTTGGGTACTTGATACTCTAACATTTAGTCACAATGAATAGGTAAACAAGTTATCACTCCTAAGAAACATAGACATAGTTAAAAGTTGCATTGATAATTTTTAATGCTGCCCCCATAAATGTAAGATAAAATTTGAATTTTTAAAATACACAGAGGAATCCCCCCCCCTCAAAATTAACAGCTTCTTATATCTCAATCCCATTTGTTCTTGCAACAGTAGTAACTGTTAAACTAATCAAAATGACAGATACTTCATTACACTGGGATGTTTCCAAAATTCAGTAACTATGCAGCGGTTGCCAACCGGTGGTTTGCGGACCACTGGTGGTTTGTGAGGTCCGAAAGGTTGGTGACCGCTGGTTTAGATTCTAGAGGCCTACTATTAAGTTATTTCAAAATTTTTCACACCTTCAATTTATTTCCATTTACTAATTTATTAAGCACCAATTTCTGCACTATTTCCTCTCCTTGCCTCTTCTGCCTTCTTAATTTTACTTTTTTTGTATTTGTTTATTTATTTGTGTGTGTGCCACTCGTGTGATTGCACATGGATGAAGGTGTATCTGTACGTTTGTGTCCTTAATTCCAGACAAATCATCCTCTCTGTTCTCTAACACTGCTATATACTGGGTATCATTTTTTAAAATGTTATTTCACTAAGGATAATCAGAGGAGATAGGAAGTGTTGATTAAATTTCTATTTCAAAAATGAGGCAAGTTAAAATTATTCAGTCACAAATATATTAGTTTATGTATCCTGATGATTATCAGTAACATTCCTCACTGTCTACTGTGAGGTATCATATTTTACCTTTGTCTTTAAGGAAAGGTAAATCTATAATCATTTAGACTATGGATTATGACTCACACTCAAATGTGCAGAGCAACATAACTTTGGAGAAGTTATTGATAGTGAAATAAAGATCAAATAGCATCTCTAACTGCAGCACCATCTGCTATAAACTGGATTGTATGTGTGAGTATGTGTGTGTTTAATTATCTCTATGTTCAGCTTTTGTGTGTATAGAACTTCAAGTTATAATTGTATGTTTGTTGTTTTTAAGTATATATACAGTATGATTATATATATACACACATTATTTATAAGAACAAAAGATAGATATTTGGGTTCAGTCAGTTTACTTTAATGTGGATGCAGCCTTAAATCAAAAAGTGTATTTGGGAAAGAAAGGCAAATTTCATAATTTTTAAATATTTTTACTCCATATTTCTACCAAATAGAAAAATCTTAATTGGATCTCTAGGGGATTAAAAGGGTAGTTACAGTATTTCTTTTCTCTAATGCTTTGGGGAGACAAGATGCAATAATTAAAATATTGGCTTCCCTAGTCACAGCTTTATTTAGCATGTATTCTTGTATTATACAAAGATCTTTGATGTGTTGAAATGTTTGCCAAAGGCAGTGAGAAATGTGCAATGCTATGATCATATTTTTAAAAGAAAAACTGAAAAGAGAACAAGTTGCTTTTTCAATTCATTTTTTGATGTTTACATGTAGCTCCATCGAAAGCTGGATGAGCTCAGAGATCACCTAGAAGGCAATGTGAAAGGATACTCTCTCAGAGTACATGTACGATTTTACTCGGTGATTTTTTTTCCCCTAAACTTCTGCTGACTGGTAATTCCAAATCTGATTGGTTTGTCCTCTCATCTCCATTTTTGTTTACTTTTTTTCTCTTTTCTCCCTCTTTTCTAGCTGCAGCTTCATGCTCATGTTTATGAAATACAGATTAAATTGGCAGAGCAGAGGACCCTTAAGCCACACTAGCATTGAGGTTGATTTAATAACATTCTGGATTCATTACAAAATAAAAACTTCCTTTGCAAAATCTGTGCTTCTTATACAATTATATAATTTTCTGAGGATCTTTTCATGAGACTTCATTTGGAGCTTTTCTGTTGACTGTCTCTTCTGTCCCCTGTTAGATGTGTCAACAGGATTATAATTTATGGGCTGGATCCAAGTGATAGAGCCTTTATGATTCAATTTCAGTTGTCAAGGAAAATGATCTATGTTAGAGTATAGGTATTCTGGCAAGTAGACTTTTTTCTGAATTAATAGACTTTTCTCAGCTCATATTCTTTAGGATTAACTGTAAGATATTTTTTGTTTAAAAATAACATAGTAAGCATCTTTACCAGGAACACCATCATGTAACATCTTACTTGAAATAAAGGATAATATGCTTAAGATAACACTTTGAAGGAGAACAATACCTTATAGCCACTCAATACTGTGCATATATTATATAATCAAAGGCAAAAATAGTATTTTGTGACCAGTAGTTCAGACTCAGAATACTTAGCTCTCCTACTGAATATATATTTCTAAGATAAATGGAAGTAAATCTCAAAAATGGTATATGATATAAATATGGCAGAAGAAAAGCTAAATTATTGTTGTACAGTAAAACCTCGATATAACAGATTAATTTAAGAGAGGGAGTGTTCATTATAGCTGAAAGTCCATTATATAATAAAGGTTTTCTAAATGCATGTTAAAAACTTGACAAATTAGTTAGTTTACTTGTTTTTACTTATGTGGACATATTTGTGTAATTAAAATTAAGTATGTATGAAAAGTTTAATTTCACAGAAAACTTTTCTAAATGTATACTGTAATTTTAATTTTAAACTGAGTAAGTTTAGTAAATGCATGCATTCATCAGTCATCGAAAGTAAACAAATGCACAAAGCTGGGTTGGGGACCCTATTCAGAATATGCCGGATGCTCAAGGCCAGTTAAGAGTGTGAAGGCCCTATTCAGAGCATGCTGGATGTCCAAGAAGGTTCAGCCCCTGGCAGAGAGGTGCGGATCCAACAGTTGGCGTAGTAGGGTAGGATCAAGACCTATGCCCCCAACATGGTGCAGCTAGCACAGGATAAATGAGGAGCTGAGTTCCCAACAGTTAGTGCAGCAAGCAGGGTTGGAGGAGGAACTTGCTCTGACACTGGGGCATGGCTTAGCCCAAGTCCAACCATCAGCAGGCATGCGTTAAAACTGCTGCAGAAAGTCTTGCCACAGGACAACAGAACCAAGTAGCACAAGCGCTGCGGTGTGGGCACATGCTAATCATTCTTTGAACATTGTTTATGAGTGTTGGCTCTTGGATTTAAATATGTAGACTATAGTTGTAGGTATGTAATATTTATTTATGTCAGTGAAATTACTACAGTGTTTTTCCATCATATGGCCTATTCACTAAAATTTGTTTTAAAAAAAATAGCAGTGAATTAATAACAAAAATTAAAAAAAATAATCTGTTAATTTAATTATAAGCAAATCTTGGGTAAAAGCATTTTAAAGTTATCAGTGTTAATATTCACATATGACATGCAGACTAGAAATTTTGTCCATTAAATTGAGGTCTGCAAAAATCAAGGGTTTACTCTAAATAATTCTGGCTCTATTTAGCCCTGACCTCCCATTCCTAAGGCTTTTTAAAAAGTGCCTATGAATCCTAGCCCTGACTTCTCTCAAGATTAGTGCTATACATTTAATTCATATTGCTATGATAGTTTTTGTTATACAGGGTAGAATGAAAAATAATAGTGATATAATAATTCTCAGCTTGTTTTTAATTAGATACCATATATAGTTATGTATATCTCTATATTAAGTTTTGATTACTGAAGTCCAAAGTTGTTTTTACTAATATCAGTAATTAAATTATAATAGCTAAACAGAGAAGGAAAGGATAACAAGTGTTTTCTACTTCTTCCTTTGGAGCCAGTCCTTCTTTTCTATTTATATTCTTATTGAAGTTAAAAGATCATCCACAATCGCCCTCAGAATGTGTTCCACTGTTTTAAAAAAAATTAGCATGAACTCTATGTCTAAATCAGTCTAAAGATACCTGGATATTATTCTAAAAACCACTAAAGATATTCTGATTATATTAATTAATATATGTATTTAGTGTCATACTCTTCCCTAATCAATCATGAGAGCTGATATTCTTTTTCTTTCAATAAAAATAAGACTAGAAAATTGAGACATGTTCACATCAACTTGGTGGGGAGTTAGTGTTATGTTAGGGTTAAATGGAAAGTTCTGTACTTTGCAAATTAGTTTATCTCATGTCATTCTTCGATTTCTTTTTTCAACACCTATACTGCGTAGTATAGTACATAATGACCAGTCTCAGTATCTTCATCTTTTGTTTCATTTCATGGGGCCGCACTTGTTCTGTATACCTTTTTTTTTCTGCAAAGATTGAATAGAGGTATATCATTCTGAGGTTTCTGTTAACTAGAAGAGTAGAAAAAAAACTAAAGGCAAATTATATCTTCTCTAGAGAGCTCAGCTAAGAAAAGATGCAAATAAAATGCTTAGCTGAATGTTCACTTTTTCTCCTTCGCCTTTAATTTCTATTACCCCAGAATGCTGTAATATATGCCTTGTATATTTTAAAATGTTGCTGAAGAGCAGAATAAAGTTATTCTCAGGACCATA